GAAAGTAACACTGATGACGCTTTGCCTGGAACTCGCAATACAAGAAGAACCCAGATGAAAAGAGTTGTGTAGGTCTTACACTTTGCCGTCTCACAAAAGATAAGTCCAGTGTGAGTGTAATACCAACAACGCAGGAGTCCTGAAATGCAACTCAGTGGCATCTTTTCCCCCCTCTGCCTTCTGAACAACCACACATTTCAAACCCACCACACATTTGGAACAGATCTTGAATTATTATTTTTTGAAGCTTCAAGCCCATGTTCAGATGTTACAAAATAAGCTCCCTTCACAGTCTCAGAAAACATTGCACAACCATTGTGTTACACTGCACAGTGTTGAAAGAAGAGTGAACTACACTTCTTGTATAAAGCTGGTCATTTAACTTCATAGCATGAATCTATTTCTTTAAAAGTGTATATTTCAAGTATTATAATCAACATAATGCAACTTGACCTTTATGTGTGCCGCCTGATAGTGTTTGCACGCCAGCTGTTTTCAAAGGCAGCCATGTTTCCCACACGGCCAAACAAATATATAGTAATGACATGCAAAATCACTCCTCTTCATGAAGACACTATAAAGCAAATTTCCCTCGAGGAAGAATCTGTTATGTAATTAGTTATGTAACTGTAATAGTGAGCTAGACTTTTGATGTGACTGAAATAAATCCATTATCAAAACTAGTGAACTAGTGTGCTGTGGCACAACCTTTTTATTGTGTCCCGGCCATCATGAATATTACCTTGTAGTGGAATGTAATTCAATTTATTAGACCATCTAATTCCATGGATTTAGATGCAATTATCCATTTTCGTGCACTGTTTAGTCCAGCATGAATTAAGATGTTATAGTAAGATTAGTGCCAGCAGAGGGGAAAACAATATACCTTACCTGTCAGAGTGAATGGAGCAATAACATTTATGTTTATTCTTTTAGGGCAAATAAGCAGATTAAACACTTTCACTCCTTTATCCAAGATAAAATAGAGTTTTTACAGCCTATTTATCCATATTTACCTGTGCTGAGGGTGGTGAAACTTTACCTGAACGATGTAGGCTTTGCCACTCTGACCAAACCTCCACATTGGTGCTGGTATAGTGTGCTGGTGATATGATCTGTAACAGCAATATAGGAGGGGTTGCCATGTGGTGCAGAAATTCATGGTCCCCATAACTAAGATGGCCTTTAGTGCCGACATGAGTTTTTCACGCTGAAAGTGATTTTGAGTGAATTAGCTCAGCTGTAGGCATCACCCTTTAATTTGCTTCAATCATTCATGTCTCCAGAAATTCATATCTAATGTCTTTGAACTAATTTAGAAACATTAGCAAAAAATCCTAACTGTAATGGGAAACATGGTTAGCTTTATACCCCAAAACAGCTTGTTTGTTAGCATGTTAGCATGCTTACAGATAACTAGCTTTAAGAACTAATGTACCCCAAAACCACAGCCTTACAGAAATACTTGATTAAAACCTTTAATTTATATTTAACTTTTACTTTTCATTTCTGTGGCAGTTTTTGTTGTTGTTGTTGTTGTTATGGAAGCATTAAACGTATTCTCTTATAAAGCTAATACTTTCAAGGTAAACATGCAAAATATACCCTTTTATTCTGTTGTTTTCTAAGATCAATACCTTCCTTGTAATGTGTATAAGAAATTGTTCAAATAAACTGAATTCTTTTTCCTGTGGACGCCCACAGCTCACTCTTTAGCATGATCCACTCTACGGCGGTAACCCCTGACCCCTAAACACCTTGAGTCATGACATTCACAGCCATACTTAGACCAGGAACGTCGTGCACGTTGCTAAAGATCAGAGACTACTGACTCTTGTAGGAACGGATGGATTTATAGCCTACCAACTTAGCAGTTCATGGACACGGTGAATAACCAGCAGTGTGAGAAATGTTTCCAGTGTGGCCGCACCCTGACCACTACATCTTTTTTCAGTCCTCACACAGCCCTGGTCCAAGGTATCCTAAACACATACGCTTAAATTTAGACTGGCTCAGGCTGACCACAGACACAGCCTAACCTCCTGAAATCTGACACCCACTGTCTGCTGTTTCTCTCTCTCCTGACTCTGTGGGTAGGTGCGTTTTCACTTTCTAACTTTTGTTCACCGATTTCCTTTGTTGAGCACCCAACCATCTCACACACAAACACCTCAGTCGCTCATAACCTCTCCCTCTATTCTTCGTGCTCGGGGGCAGCCGACTGGAGCTGATTTACTCTGTTTGCACAGAGTTAGAGCTCACAGTTCTCCCTAAATTAAAAAAAGAAGAAGAAGCTGTGCACATCTTTCTTCTGTTGACAAGCTTACTGCTGGAATCCTATTTATTCATACTGGAGCATTTCCTCGGTTGTTGAGTGTGTGTCTTCAACTGATTTGTTTCAATTTGTATCCAATAAGTAAATAAACAGTTGGTGATTCCATTAATAATAGTGAAGCAGTGAAAAATTTAACAGGAAGGTGGAGCGAGAGAGCAAAGAGAGCAGGTGAAAACACAGCAAATCTGACCCATTTTCACCTGCTCAACCAGCAAGACGTCTCAAAATCTGCTGTCCTTCTGCGCATAATATCTGACAGTTTGACCCTTTCATTGTTCTGGAAATATAGTTCTATCTGGGGACTGGCCTACAATGGAAACGTTCCACTTTGTTTGACACTTTTTTAATCACATTCAGTGGCGTATTGTTCTGCTTTCTCAAGTAAACGTTACTTTCTATTGTAGTAAACAGGCTTTAGTTTATGTTTAGATAGATAGAACTTTATTAATCCCTCGGGTAGGTTCCTCTGGGAAATTCAGTTATATGTTTTTCTATTGATAAAATGCTAGTTTCTCTAGCTCTGTGCCCATCATTTAAATTTGCTGATAGTTTAATTAATTGCTCAATTATTCTTAGCATTAATATGCTTTCAAATTGAAACATGAATATCCAAGTAAGGTCAATCCGATGAGGAAGATTTACTTTTGCCATTCCTCTTCTCAGTTCCTTCTCCTCTGCAGCTTAGTGCTCAATGGCCCATAACAGCTTCCTGATGGCCGGCTATGAACATGATGAGATCACTAGTATCACTGATCTCATCATCTTTTCATTCACACTCACACGAGAAGGGAGAGGGGAGAGCATATGCACAGAGACACTTGAGAGAATTGGAGGAGAGGGTACAGTAACAGTGACAGCCTCAATATGAATGTAGCCGTACAGATGAAGGCCGTATGGCTGTCGTGTGTTTCAGAGAGCTGGACCTGCATTAACGTGTCGTCTGCTACAGTTAAGCTGCACTTTTGTAAACGAGTCAATCATCACACATAAAGCATATTTGTTTTTGTTTTTTAAAGTGTTAGACTCACAGTAAATAAGACATCAATCAGATTTCTTCAGCATTTTAATTTTGTTTGTGTGCATTTTTTGCACCAAAGATGGAGTGATATAGATGCTAGACAAGGAAGCACTAAGCAAGTCCTGCATTTTTATTCTGTTGAAAAACAGTGTTTGTTTTTTTTAAATGAAAGTGAATGACACCTTTACGTGGGCCGTGCCTGCTGGGTGTGGAGAAACAGATGGCTTTGGAGACAGTGGTGCATGTTTTATTAATAAAGCTCACTGCCCAGTTATGGCATTGCAGGAAAAATGGGTGCATTATGCATATCCCTGGTGTCACCGGAGCTTGATGTTTAAGCTACATGTCTGATTGATTCAGACAGTGTGAGTGGGTGAGTGGGAGTGGGATATTCACAGTGAAAATATGCATTCAAATCTATTCGTATGTTTTAAGAATAAATATAATTTGTCATTTTCCATAGCATAGAAGACAATGGATAATTATTTTTACTAAAAAAAAGTAAAGAAATGTCTTGAGACACAGGTCAGTGGCAGGAGTGAATCTGTTTTTGCTTACAGGGAAATCAGTGGGCGTGCACACACATACACAACACGACTCTCCACAGTTGCACTGCAAAACAAGATGGCCACAATGAAGCAATCCAGACGACCACCAACTCTGAAAACTTTGTCAAATCGGGATTTTTGAGTTGCTGAGTGCAAAAAGGCAACACATGACATCAGCTCAGCTCAGAGAAACAAACACGATTCAAGAACATTTCTCATCTCTGGCTGAACTGGACCAATCCCAAACTGTTACACAACAGTCTGGACAACAGGCTCGGACTGTGATTACTCATGTCATCGTTGGGAAATTAATAGAGACCTACTTTCTGCTCATAAGGGATAGAAAACATAAAAGTGTTTATCCTGATATCTGATATCTACTGCTTAAATGAAGCCAGGGAGCTCTTTCTTTTTTCACTCAGCCGCTGAGTCCTCCTGTAATTCCCGTGTCCTCGTCACCACTACCTTTCAAGACTCTAAAACAGAAAATCTGTGACAAAAGCAAGAATAATTATGCAATTATGGCTGCACATTCTTGTGGTGTTCTGCTAGCTCTTCTTTGTTTTTAATCACAGTTTGGCAGCAGTTAAACGTGTGGTCTGAATGTAACCTTTTATTTCAGGAAATAGCTGAAAGTTCTTATCAGCAGCAAACCATTAAGATATACAATGCACTGTAAGTCTCAATGGTTTGTGTTGAAAGCTGTATGAATATGGCTAACTAAGAGTGAATAGCAGCAGTCCTGCATCTGTCTGGTTTCTGCAGTCCTATAAATACTGTAGGCCCAGTAGGAGGAGGAACAGCGGTAGGTCCAGCAGGTCAAGTTGCCACATATGAGCAATCCCATATGTTTTGTAACACTCTGCATCCTGCCAGTTGGGAGAGATTTTAGTGGCAGCAGAAAGCAGTACAGTTGGAGATGACAGCAAAAACAGGTGGGAGCCAAGCCAGCTCCATCTCACTTTTTACATCAGCATGTCAGAATCCCTTTAAGTAAGTCACCAGTCAGTCAAGGAGATTCTTCCTGACTGTGGAAGTGCTCCACTTCAGATCAACCCCACCTTAAAAAGCCGCCCATTGTGTCTGTCTGTGCTTGTAGGCGGCCTGGCTGAGGATTCCTCCAATCTGTGAACCGATGGGCATGTGACATCACCCCCTCCGCCCCATCTCTCCCTCCTTACATCAGTGCATCTGGCCAATCAGTGCTCAAGGAGATCCGGTCACATGAGAATCCCCCCCAGTCTTGGTTACCATGACAACGAGCACTGGTCCAGGCAGCATCTTGCTGTGGTGAGAAAAGAGGAGGTGGAGGGGGGAAGAAGGCAGGAGGAGAGGCAGAAAGAGAAGAGGAAAGGGAGGAAGGAAGATAGAAAGACAACAATTCCATTCTGAGGAATAGCTTTTGGATCTTCAGCTTGTTCCTGTCTTCATTCAGTACAGTGAGTACTTCACCTTTATTACCCACGTTCACCTGCTGCACTGCAAGCAAATGAAAGGAGATCTGATGCAGTCCTTTGTCATCAGAATTGGATAATGTGACATGGCAGATGCCTTTGATGATTTCAGGGATGGCATCAGTAATCCCTTTGTGATGTGGAGAATGCATGCAGCCTGCCTCACCTTAGGTAGACAACCCTTTGTCTGTATGTTTACTCAAAGGCTGATGACAGACCTTAACAGCAAACAGAGCCATGGTGGGAACCAGGGTGCTCAGCGCAATTAGAGGCAATTTCATAACATGGTGAAACTCCTTCTGATGTATTATGCAGCGAGTCATTCAGCCTCCAACCGCTAATCTTCGTCCTGTCTTTCTTTTTTTTTTTCCATTTCTACTCCTCCAAGTCTGTCTTCCTTTTTCTATCTTGCTCATTTCCACACAATTAGATCTGGCTGACACTCTGTGCCCCACCGGGGTTTTGTATAATTAGCAAATCCATGGAAATTTCAGCTGGGACAGTTTGCTCTGATTGCAGGACTTGTATGATATGTAAAATGTCCTTGTGGTGATAGAAACAGAGAGGTTTTCTAGCTGCAAGTTAATTCATGGTCAAAATGTTGCTGTTTTACATTACCTTACATTTGAACCTCATACATAATTGCAAAGCATGCAAGAGAGATGATGCAGAGTCACTAATAAAGTGCTAAAGATCTAATTCATGTCCTGCTATAGAAGGAAGCGTGATGTTTACAGGCTGTTGGATTTTTTTGCATTTTATTTGTGTGTGTGTGGCTTGTAAGAGTAACCTTAAAGATTGTTTGGAAAGGGACTTCTAATTTTTTTTGTTATTCCCATTATGTTTTGACAGAACAGTTATACAACAACATTGTGCCTGCAAACTCATTACATGTGACTTAACCGTGATAATCTGGTTAGTATATGGCATGGTATACGATTCTGACTTCTGCCCGTTTATCTCTCCTTGTATATTTGTACTTGATATCCCTGTATCTTATCTTCTCCCTGCGTAGGTGGGACCAATATTTTTCAGTATTTTTTTAGTATATGCACCATATCATTTATTAAATTGTGCTTATAAAGCTATTTTAAACAAAATAAATCAAACTAATACTGAACTACCAACTTGGCCAAAGTTGTAGTTTATATTATACGTGCCTTGCGTCTCAGCCGCACTATCTGTCCTGTGACATGAGCTGATGGGAAGGTGTTTGCTTGCTAGCTGCGGTAATGTGCCCAGAGCTGATAGCAGCTGAAGGGTTTCTCCTTTCAACATGGCCTAAGAATGTAGCACCTTACAGAGAATATAGATAATCTTCTTCTGATCCAAGTGGATGAACTATATCTCAAGCTGCCTCATCTTTGAGACTGCACTGTTTTTGCTTGCCTGTGATCCAGTTAATGAACCAGTAATGGCTTTGAATGATTGGTTAATAAAAACCTTTCTTTTGACAAGGTTCAGTTGCAGTCTGGATTGCAGAACCATTTTTTTGTAGTCTGGGGAGAAGTCCATGTTGTGACTGAAACAAAAGCTGTGTATCAGTAATGCACATTTCTGTCTGCGGGAAGCAGCCAAACACTCACTAAACTGTTTCTTGCCATTTGAAAGTGATTGTTTAAAACTTATAATTTTCCCAAATTGTAATCTTATGGTTTTCCACCGAGGCAAACTTCAGCCCCTTTGAAACCACTGCACAATCTGGGTCTATACTTTGTTAGAAAACAAACAAATGAGCTTTGGAATTTCCTTTGGAATCATATTTTCAAGATTTCCTACAGTGGAAAAGAAGGAGACTTGCAGATAGACACAGCAGATACACACGTTTCAGGAATGTTAACCATTATTTTATGTCATGCGCCTCATCACTCCAGACTACCTAGAGCCTACTTCTTTTACTGTCCATATAAAACTCCCGGGTGCCAGAGTGCACATCTGAATCACGCCTCTATATTCTGGTAACTCACCTGTGCGGATGATGCCCAGTAAACAATTTTACAGTAACACATTTTTTTGCAGGCTAATTATTACTAGCAATAATTTATCAATTTTTACCCCACAGGTTAAGTCAATATTTATATACACAATCGCACACAAGGCAAACGGGAAATATTTTACAGTAACTGAAAGATAAATAAATAAATAAATAAATACAAGTAAAGTTTGACTGTTCGGATATCACGTTAAATGAAACCCCGCCGGTATCCCCGGTTGTCTAAACCAGTTTTAATGTTTCGGCCAAGGTTTCGACAGCATGTGAACGCAACACTGCTGCTGCGTCACGTTGGAAGAGACCAATTGGATTAAACTGAGTTAAAACACGCTGGCTCACCTCAAGAAAGAGCGGGGGGTGCTCACCTTGCACTGTTAGAGAGATTGAAGTACAAGCTAGCACAGCGTCGTCTCTTTGCCGTATGCAGTCTATTACTGCTTTGTACTCTTATTTCAACATGTAATACAGGAACATTATTTGTTCGCTCAAATTTCAGGAACATACTGTTATTTACAGAGCTGCACGTCCCCCCCTCCTTGTCGGCGTTATGGTTTCGACGGATCCCTCTCAGTCAGTTTCAAGTTGCGCCTTCTCGTCTGCCGTGTGGCTCTGTGCTCTATATCCCTACCGAGCGAAAAAAATAGACATTGCCGTTTTGGCTTCACTGTGAAATTTGGATTTACACAGGAAAATGGATTTAATAGAATTATTGACGATTGGATTATGATCACGTGGCATTCAGAGGTAAGAAGACACGCTTCTCTCAGTCGTTTGACAAACTGGGTTTTCTTTAACGTTACCGTGGGATCCGCGGGCTGCACCTTCGCACGTTTGGGAATGTCACGCTCTGTTGGTTTTAATAGAGCAGCTAACGATTTAACTGCATTGGCCTGTTATAAATCTCAATTTTCTTTGTGCAAAGAACATGCACATTACTGGTGCATCACAGAGGAAAACCTCGGTTCTAATGGGACAGCCTGTGGAATGTAGTGGTGCTATTAGTCACTTCCACACAAATATATCCATCAGTACAGAATGCAGTCCAAGCGCGACAGTTTACCTGATGAGTCGGCAAAGAAACTCAGTAATATTTGTACATCATTGAGTCAGAGGTGACATTTGAGAAATGTCGTTTTAGGAGCTTGTTTCGGGTAACAACACAGCCGCAACACACCTGGAAAGAAGTCATGTTAGGTAAACGTTAATGCACACACTTTGTATTCGCAAAAGATGTTGTTACAGGAGGCTGGTATGGAGCTGGCTGCTGCTTGCTCTTGTGTAAATCTCATGCAGTCCTATACGTACCGTAAGTTTAGATATTTTGCAAGTGCTTTTGTTGTCTCTCAGTACCTGTTTTGTGGCCAAGTGTAAAGGTTTTGACGTTAAATCAAAGTCTCCTCCTAGACTTCAGTGATGAATGCTTCCACATGTCATTTTTGTTTTTGTTGATTAACTGTATGCTGACATTAACATTAATATCATATTACTCCAGCTGGCTCAGCTGGGCCCATACAGCAGCAGCAGCCACTCTGTGGTTAAATGGAGCAGAAGGGTCCTGACCTGACAGGCCAAAGTCTCTTATCCTGTCTCATCTGAGTGATTGGATTTGTTCTATTGATTAGTTATACTGAACCTTTGTTTCTCGCATTTCAAGAGCTTCCTTCCTACACTGTATCTTTAAAGACTTTGTACATCTACTCTGAGGCCACAGGGCGCAGTTGGGTAGGTGGGTGTTAACTGGGCTGTGCTGTATCTGTTCGCACCTTTGTGTTATCATAACTAGCAGTTTCCCTCCTAGATCAGGATGTGGAGCAGAGTAGGAAAGGATGTTTGCTTGGTGGCTGACTGCAGTTTGGCTTTCTGAAGAGAAGCCTGACATAATCGTTCAAGTATAGTCCAGCATGCAGCGTCCTCTGCAAAACTAAGCTGTGTTACAGTGGCAAACTTTAAGTTTATATTTCTGTGTTATAAACACAACCCACAAAGCATCCAAAATACATCAAAACACAGCAGCATGAATTTGATAAGGCAAGCTTTTTAATGTTCGTGTTCGTGAGGGAGGGGAAGATAAAGCTGACTCACTTTGCCCCCTTACTGACCGTCGCTCAGAGAGTTAAGGAAACTAGCTCTGACTCTGACCCCCTGTGAACCTGCAGTATATTGTGGAAATGGGAAAAGTGCTGGATGAAAGGACGGACGGTAGGAAGGAAGGAAGTCCTGTGAAGGCAACTCGCGCTGTGTCATGAGCAGCTGGATGTATCCCAGCTATCTGGTTCATTTGCCCGATGGCTTGCTGATGTGGCTGACTCATCTGAGACTTGGTGCCCCCCCCCCTCCATCCCACCACAATATTAAACTACTATGCGTGTTATAGCAAGTCTAGCCTGCTGTAAGTCCTTAAAAGGAGAGACAGCTGTAACTAGAAGGAATGTTGTGAACTGCTTAAGGTTCCATTTCTTTAGCAAACACTCATTGCAAGATAATGAGAGAATATCCAGTTACCGTTTCAACTTTGTACTTAGGTGGATGAGATTGTGATGATTAGTATATTCCTGTGATGATGAGTATATTCCTGTGTTGACTGCTGAGTCACACGGGTGTAATAAAACCAAACAGCCTGGATGATGCCATATTGTTTCCACCCTTTAAGGTTTGGAGATCCTACAAAAAGTCTGAGATAGTTGCTTTATCTGCCACTGTTCTCTCCCCCCCCCCACAGTAAGAAAAATAAATGAGATTTGGTGGAATAATCACTAGTCAAAGCTGCATGACTTCCAGCATGGCTCCTGTCCATTTGCTTTTGTGATTTCCCACAGCTCTAGATTAAAGACTTACTTCTTGGCTGTTTCTTCCACCTTAGAGATCAGAAGTGGGTCAGTATGACAAATGCATTCCAGAGGCTACGCCAGTGATACATGTTGCCAGTCTGCTGCTCCTTGAACTCTATAAAGGCTACTATCTTACGTCAGCCAGTGCAGCAGAAACTCTGATC